GAGCCGCACCAGCGGCGTAAGACGAGCCCAGCTCGCGCCTGCGGACTCCATGTCCGCTTCCTGACTTCTCGTCACCTGAGGAACGTAGTGCAATCACCAATGACCTCGATGATGCACAGAAGTGGCAGCTGGAAGCTGTCTGTAAGGCGGCTCTGATGTGCGCCCATCCACGGTCGGTCATTGACCCTCGTGTGGAATATGGCTTCCACCCAGCAGATCCCGCTGTGGCAGCGAAGGATGCGGTATCTTGATCGTTTAGCGTCCACATCATCGGGCCCCCCGGCCATTACGGAAGCTGGGCTTGCCGAAAGGGAAGCCCTTCGAGCTCGTTTCTTGGTCCCACAAGAAATTCCGTTAAACGTTTATCGCACTCGTCTACGTGCTCAAAGAGGCGGCTCTCGTGTACCCGCAATCCGGATGATACCTGTAGTGCTCGCCCCTGGCGAAAGCGCAACAGATGACGAAGTCCTCTTTGAGCAATGGGTGTAACGGCACTGAAAACTTACTGTATGCGTTACTGTTGAGCCACAAGGAAGAGGACGTTCGTGTGGAGGGACACCTCACACTTGAGCTCGCCAAACTCAAACCACGCTGTCGACTCCCTTCCGATTGTCGCCCTGTGTCTGCGACCGCAAATGATCAGGGCCACTGCTTGAGCTCAGCTCAAGGCTCTTCTACTTCTCTGGTTATTGCCGGGAAACGCGGGGCGCCCTGATCTTTCTGGTCGAAGGCGTACACGGCGTCTGGGCAATCTTGCCGAAGTAACGCCTCAAACTCCCACGAGTTTTCGGAGTCGGGATATCACGCCACTTCACCAGATATTGAGTCTGACCCTGGTGACGAAGTCGTCTCACTAGACGCTCCACGTGATAGTGGACGTCACCGTTCGCATCAAGAAAAGTCGGTGGCGGGCGGTAGCTACCGGGTCGACAGCCATCCGGTGACTCGTGATGATATTTGAGCCCTTGAGAACGAGGTCATCCGTGATCGAAGCTCTGCTGAGCGTCATGCTGAAGTAGCATATCGCTGTGCGGACGCTCGTGATGATTTGAAGCACGGCGTGCGCCGGCTGTCTCGCCTTGAGGACTACCACGCTCTGTCAGAGCGACCCCTAGCCGTGGAGCAAGCGAATGCTTCGCGGCAGGCAACGGTGGGGCGCTTAGCTCCATTGAAGATGGAGATTGTTGCACGCCATACTCAGAACCAGTTGCTGGTTCACTTTCTGGGTAGCCGAGGGCCCGTGGGATCCGCTCTGGCGCTTCTGCATTCACATGCGCTGGATCCCAATACGGCTTGAGCAAACCCACGCAAAACACCGGGTGTGTGTGCATTCGTTGGGAAGGTTTAGCGTATATGATCGGCATCGCTTGGACACAACCTTAAACGGTCCACTAACCCGTGGACGAAGCTTCGTTTGGAAGATAGCAGAGGCTGCATGTGTAGGAAGGTTTCGGAGTTTAATAAAACCAGGGCTCCGACCTTAAAGCATTCCACTTTGCCTCTTCCGTTTTTGTAGACAAGAAGTCATCAACTTCTTTGCGGATGGTGAGGGGCTGACATCAGCTAGCCGTTCGGCTATTCCTCCCCCCACCAAGCCCTGAGCCATGGGATGGCGGCGCCAGCGGGACGCGAGGGTGAACCAACCTGCTCACAAAGAACGGCATGTAGCCAGTAGACGAATACACTGCATTGTTAAGCGCAAACTCTGCGAGTGGCGATATGGTCCAGCGGCTCGGCGTCTCAGCGCAGACACTGCAAAGAACGTCTTCGATGACGCGATTCACCCTTTCGGTTTGGCCATTGGTCTGCGGATGATCCGCTGTCGACAATCCAACTTGGTGCCTAGCACCTTGAAGATAGTTGATTAAAATCTTCCCGTGTAACGGGGTTCTGTATCAGAGACAATCGACTCAGGGAGTCCGTGTTATCGGAAAACT